TCTCTCTCTCTCTCTCTCTCTCTCTCTCTCTCTCTCTCTCTCTCTCTCTCTCTCTCTCTCTCTCTCTCTCTCTCTCTCTCTCTCTCTCTCTCCTCCCTCTCTCTCTGTCTACCGTCGATCGATAAATTTAATAGTATCAAAATTTTCTCGTCAAGCGGATATTCGTAAGCTCTACGATGAATCGCTCGTTTCGCACATATTCGATGACACGTTTGTTTGATTGAATTTTTTTCGTCTATCTCCTAATCTTGATTTATCCGCATGTAACGTGCACGCTGCAGCCTCGGGGCCCAACCAACAAATTTATGGCATACGATTTTCCAGGGTCACGTACGTATATAATCGCGGTTGGTCGCCTCCATGTCCACTTTCCGATATCGCGCAGATAATGCTTGTCGATAAGTCTCTACGGCCTGTCGACATCCGGATTGTCCTGCGTGAACTTCCATATTTTATTTTAGGCTCTTACTGCGTGACTCATATTCTCGTAAGAATCATGCGTACATAGAAATAAAGAAAGTGACTTTGGCTAAGTCTCGTATCGATTTATTCCATAAGCTCATTAGTTGGCTTAAGCGCGAAAGCGGGACCGATTGCCGACATTGAATAAAATAAAGACCATTCTTATTGTTAAACAACAATTAGCAAGTGAATTTTTTATTTATAATAATGTAGTAAAATTGATATTAATCTGTTCTAGATTTTCAAACGTATTTCTTAACAAATATCTCTAATATATGTTTCATTTTTTTTCTTGAAAGCGAGATTAATTCAATTTACCAAATTAATCATTAATTAAGGATCTTGAAAGCAGACTATCGTGTTTGAGCACGTTATCCGAGTAGAATCCAGTAGCGAGAATCAATCTAATTAGATGCGCTTTCATCAATTGCTACAGAACACGGAAGGAACATTCGTGTTAATTGAATGGTCGCGTCAGATACGCGTCACGTGCGTGCAACATTAAATCTGAATTCCAGCGATAAAGGGATCCGTTACCGACGCAAAATGAAACGAAAAGTCCACTGCATTACTTTACATAATTCTACGTAAACTCTACATTAGATAACATGAAGAACTTTTTTTTTTTTAACGACCTAGAGCTTATTTCCAACTGTCGCCGAGATTTTTGCACTTACCCTCATGTATAAAAAGAGTAGAGGGATTCAAGGATTCTAGTGTCCTGCGATAAGGAAATTCTTAACTCGTTTGCGCTTCCTTTCTCTATGTAGAATTCTTTAGGTCCTTAAAGAGGAACCTCGTTTGAACAGTTCGTTGACGGTTCATTCGATCGACTACGGTTCGACACGTCACGGACAGAAGACAGTTTTACACTGACCCCTCTGCGACTAGAACCTCTATGTATACCACCGTCTACTACCTACCATACTCGTCACATTGCGTGACTAAATATGTATGAGTATCCGTACGTATCCGTGGTGACGGTCGCTTACTTAAGTCTATCCGGGTCTACTTGGCAAAAATAAATATCTAGGTTTATGCTCTACCACGTCGACAATGACCTGGCAGGTCTTAGATGTCTTTGTTCGACAAATAATTTCCAATTTCCTTTTTTTAAAACAAGAAAATATGATATAGATTCGTTATTTGCGGATCAACATGGGGGATTAATGGCCAAATTCGAGCAAATTAGGAATGAAGAATAGTGAATGATAAATAAATTAATCGTATAATATTTCTTTTTTTATTTAGAATTCTTCAAGATAAGATTATCTGATTATTTTTTAAATTTATTTTATAATTTATGACGTATGCATTTTGATGCATATTCTTATGAAAATTTTATAATAAAGAATGATTAAATGTTTTAAAAAGACCTTAGGAAGATTTGATATTTAAAATTTTTGGAAGAAATGTTATAAGAAATTTGTAAAATCTTTTTTATTGCCGAAGTAAAACTTTCAAATCGTTATCAGTAATCATATTGAATTAAGATTAAATACATTTTCGTTTATGACACTTGCTTTAAACAAATTAAAACAAATTATTCAAACATGATAAGACATTCGACACTAATGACTTGGCACAAGTATTTAACGATAAGTATACTTGTTTTAGTAGACAGAATGCCAACATTTACAAGACAGAGATAAATGAATGAATAAACTAATTATAATAATAATAAAGAAATGAATTATATTGAATAAAAATGAGAAAATAAGGGGCATATAAGTCGAGCCGGATCTTCTTGCTTGAAAATTTGTTTATTGAAAATAGACGTTTCGACCTGTATCAGATCATTTTCTGAGAGATCATTTCTGCTAAGTAACGAACTATTTAATTCAGATCGACGTTCATGGACACCATTAAGAATGCCTTTGGGCATTTGTCTGACCTGATCTTTGTCATGTTTGTTCATGATAGAAGCACGTGACTGGAGACTTTTTCATTTATCTTATTAGGTGATTTTATATTTTATTGAAAATGATCTGATGCAGGTCAAAACGTCTATTTTTATAATTTCCATAAACAAATTTTCAAACAAAAAGATCCGGCTCGGCTTATATGCCCATTATTTTCTCATAGTTATAAAAATTTAATTTATTAATTATTGTAAAAATCCCGAGTTATTTTCCAAAATGTCATAAATACGAAAAAAATAAAGTTTAAAAAAATTAAAAGTAGCTTATGCAATATTAAAAAAAATTAAACAAAGATACTTACTTTTTATTTTATCCAATATTGTTACAAAAAATGTTAAAGTGAAGGATAAAGAACAACGTCATTTGCTTGAATCGTAAGAATAACAAGCAAATTGTCTAGCTAAATGTAATATGACATCGTTAAGAAGAGAGAGTATTAAAAAATTTTATTTTCCGCTATTTTATTTTTGTTAATAATTCGCGAATAAACGATAATCTTAATTTCGCGAAAATTAGTTGCAAATAGCATACCATAAAATATATTCACAAAAGACAAAAACAGTAATTACATTTGGACTAAATGTTAAAGGTTTTCCAACTTCAAAGAAATTTCTCCGTTGACTGAAAGAATTATTTGAAAGACCAATTACATTATGAGAATTATGATGATTACATTATGAACACATTTTACCGAGCAATGTTTACCGTGATTCTTTCCTTACGTCCAGCTTATTACGTAAGGAAGCTTATTACGTAAGGTACATTCAGAACTTGAAATAGAAAAAAACAGAGGTATGCAATTGTTTGCAATTAGTCTCTTACATGTAACAGTAACAGTAAACAGTCACATTCTCGTAGATTAAACTTTTAAAGCGGAAGAGGAAAGAATGCATTTATCCGCAAAGGACACCTTTTGTATTGACATAAAGAACAATTGAAAAAAGAAAAATTGCAAAAAGCTACTCGGTCGAACATCTTTCGAGTATCGCTCGAAAAATCGAAAACCGAAAACAAAGATTTCCTCATCAGCAGAAGCGAGATTTCCTGTATCTGACGGAATTTCCTGTGTCTTTTCGATTACCACCGCGATCTCGACAAGACGCTCGATCTTTCCTCCCGCTCGTGCCTTCCTCCTTGACGTACGAGTAGAAGTCTCCAAAACTTGCAGAATCCTCTGCAAGCCGCGCGCGTAATTTGCATACGATTAATCTTGATCAACGCCGCGGCACCCTCGCCCGAGGCTCGTCTTCGTCCGTGATCCAGCGGGAATCGGGTTAAATGGCGAACGCCTACCGAGGCCATGATGGATCGTTACGTCTTGGCGAAGCCGAGGCTGCGCCAAGATGAATTCGGCACGGCGGAATCGATCTAATTAAGCACACGCACGGTCGCGTGGAACAAGACGTCGGGCGGATGCGAACTGATTGAATTGCGGTATGCAGATTTGCGTCAACAGAATATTCCGATTGCGTCGCGCCGCGACGGGGGAGGAAAGGGGGAGGGGGTCCGCGTTATGTCGCGAATTGAACAATGCGATCGTTTCAAATCACAGCTCCCCCAATATCCATCTCTCTTTCTTTCTTCCCTAGTTTCCTTTATTAAATTGATACCAAAGATCTTTAGAGGGGAAAGATTTATTTATAATATTAATTTATAAATATTAATATATTAATTAATATTTATTTATAAAGATATTTTGAGTATATCTTTAAAAATATACGAAAATTATGTAACAGTGATAATCTGAGTACATCCTAAGAATAGTTAATTGATGTTATATTATATCGAATGTATATAATATATTCGATATAATCACAGTACATTCACATTGATCATTATCAACTAAACCATTAATTTTATCTTTACTTGTGTCGTAACATAACATCTTTGCGATCGATCTCGGGATCCTTCGACTTAAGAGTGAAAGGACGAATTAATCAAACGGTAAAATATTCGACTCTGATGTTATGCGTGCTGACGAACGACTGATTGATCGTTTGTCTTTTAGTATGCAAAATGTAATTACGCGTCACGGAAGTTCCACATTATAAGTCACGTATTTATTTCATAAGATGAGCAAGTTACGTAACTTGGACTCGCGAAAGATGGATCGCCATGATCGTCTGAGCGATGTTATATTATCTCGGATAAGACGGAGAATCGATCTAATTATATACATCTTCAATTGCTACGAGGTATGGAAGGAGCATCTGCGTTAATTGAATCGACGTAATACCAGATTCGCGTCACGTATTTGCGGAATGTTAAACCAGTGCAGCCTGCAAAAACATTGCTCGC